TTGCTCATTTCTGCAGGCACTCATGGATTGGTTGACTGTTAGTCAGCCCAAGTTGCTAATAGGATCCAGGAGAGGAGGCCCATGGGTCAGTGCCGTATAGCACCGAGAGCCAGGGAGCTTTGAGGACAGTCAAATACATCTCATCAGGAATCTGAGGAGTGCTGACTGAGCTGTGTTTGGAAAACGATTGGGGGAGCAAAAAGAGAAAGAAAAAGGTTGGGATAGGAAGCAGAAGAAAGAAAAAGGAAATGGCCTGGCGTTAGTAACCGAGGTGGGAAGTAGCCAGCTTGTTGAAGGGCGTGGATGACGGCACACATAGCTGCAATGTGGGGAGGGTATAGGTACACAGGAGAAAGTTCTTGGAAGGTTTGTCTGACAGAGTGGACCGGTGTGTGCTGGAGCAGTCAGAGAAGCCTGGGGATGGGAACTGAGACAGGCAGGGGCAGGGGCTGGTGGGATGCTGTTTATTGAGTTGAGGGACAGAATGATATGGGGAACGTGGGCATTTGGTACTCATGGGTTTCAGGTGGATGCCTGGACTGGAATGAAATGCTAGGAGTTACCGGCCTCTGTGTGTGTGCGCGCGCGCGTGCATGCGTGCGTGTGTGTGCGCGTGTGTGTAAGGTCGCAATAGACTGGAAATATTGCAGGGGACTGCAGCAAAGCAGGGAGCAGAGAGGGACTGCAAGCTTCCCACCCACAAAAGAGCAGAGCTGCTTAGCATCCCAGCTGTTCTAGTTTGGATTTCATTGCTGTGATTAAAACAAACAAAAAATAAAAGCACTGACCAAAGCAACTTAGGGAGGAAAGGGTTTATTTTATCACAACTCCCAGATCACTACAGGAAGTTGAGGCAGGCGTTGAAGTGGAAGCCATGGAGGAACTGTTCACCGGCTTGTTCCCTCCCTTCCTCGGTTGCTTTTCTAACTGACTTAGGTTCCCCGGCCAAGGGATGGCATCACCAGCAGTAGACTGGGCCTCCTACATCAGTCAATCAAGACAATGTCCCAGACATGCCTAGCATTTGAGGCGACCCTGCTGGTTCTTCTGCCCGAGTGCTGGGATTATGGGTGTGTATTACCAGGCCTTGACCAGACTTCTTATTTCTTTTCTTTTCTCCTTTTATTGAAAATTGATTCTTTCCCCACACAATATATCCTGTTTTTAGTTTCCCCTCTTCACTCACAAGGCCTGGATTAGATTTTCTTATCTCCTGGTGCCCGTGTCTGTGGTAAGGCTCTATGCTCTGATTTGATAAACCTTCTCCTGTGTGTAATTTGCTGTATATTTGTCCCTGGTGTTCCAGTAGTGTTTTGTTATTTGATCTATCCGACAGCTGACATAGGTTGGACAGACATTCTTCCCATTTCCAGAGACAGAAAGTGAGGCTTGGAGAATTAGTAATTTTAGGATTTATTTGTAGTTTTGTGACGAGGAATTCTGCTCAACATTGGCGTGCAATAGGACAACAGCCGAGAAGCAGGGTGAGAAAAAAAAATGAATGTATTGACTTTAGAGACACTTATCTGGGTTACCAGAGTGGGTTCCTAATATGCGGTGTGGCTGGGCACATGTGGCGCTGTAGTAACAGTGGCGCCTGCAGTTCAGACCCCAGATCACACGTGTGTCTGCCTGCCTTTCCTTCCCTTCTTTAGCTGTGGGTTTGTTTCTCGGGCTGATTCTCACTCTGTAGGCCTGACTGGTTTGGAACTCAGGATTTGGCCCATGGGCTTTGAGCTCATGGCATTCCTGTCTCTGCCTCCTGAGTGCTGGGGTTACAGGTGTGAGCCACCGTGCCCAGCTTCCCCTTTGTTTATGCTGTGTGCAGACCTTCCTTTCCAACAGCAGGCTCGTGCTTTCCACACGCTGTTCATGTGCGACACTGCGTGGTTGGGAATAGTTGCCTTCTGTTTGGACTCATGTGAGAACATCTTCCTCTTCCATGGGAAACTGGTTGGGCCAACACCTTCTGTGGGAATGTGGCTTCCACAGGACATGGTGACTTGGAGCCATCCCTCAGTTTCCCATAGGCACAGTGCCAAGGACAATGCTACTTTTGAGGGCCAGTGAAACTTTTAATTTCTTTTAAAACTGTAAGAGTGAACTTTTAGGTCAAAGGCTTTGAAACATTAGTCATCTCTACACCAGCACAGTTAAAATATGATTATGTGTGTATGTGTGTGTGCAATATATGCATATATATAATGTATGTAACGGATCATGTGTATAATGTGTGTGTTTATGTGTGTATATATGTATGTATATAAGAAAGGCCCATGAAAGCCAGAATGGAGCCTTGAGTATGTGCTGGGTTGGGAGTCTTGAATGGGGTCTGGTCTTTTGCAGACTGTGGTCTTTTCTTCTTTTCCCAACCTACTTATCTGATGAGATTAGATATGTTCTGAGTGGTACAGCTGTGAACCCTAACCTGTTTGCCCTCCCTCCTCCCCTTCCTCTTTTCCTGTTGGTCAAGCAAACCCATTTATTAAGGAAATGAAGGAAAGAATTCCAGAGAGCAAGAGAGTTCCACAAGAGAACTTGCCCATAACCTATTTACCTTTCTAGTCATTGATTCACTAAGGACTGGCTGATTACAAAGACCATTGTGGGAACTGGAGAGATGGTGCAGTGATTAAAAGTGCATACCATTATTACTAGCTTTTTTTTCCTTCTGTTTTTTCAAGACACAGTTTCTCTGTGTAGTCCTGACTGTCTCAGAACGCACACTGTAGGCCAGGTAGGTCTTGAACTCAGAGATCCACCTGCCTCTGCCTCCCAAGTGCTGGGATTAAAGGTGGGCACCACTGCTGCCGGAAAAAAGCATGAGGAGGACCTTGGTGGATTCCGTGGCAGGCGAAGGTGACAGACATGGAGGTGGAGGGACAAACATGTCAGGCAGACAGCTTAAATGAGAAGTTTTATTGGGGCGGGGGAGAGGTAAAGAGACGCAGAGACAGAGAAAGGAGGAAGAGAAGAGGGAGCAGGAAAAGTCCTGTCTCCCTAGGGGAACAGCAGGAGAGAGGGGAGAGGGAGTGGGTGGGGTCTTTCTTTTAAAGAGCCATGCACAGGTGGGGGAGAGGCCAGGTTTGCCTGGGTTACAACAAAAACTCCCTGTAACTTTATAAACTTGGGGGATCTGATGCCTTCTGACCTCCAAGGGCGCTACGCTGTCCTTCACATACCCACTCCCAACACATAATTAAAAACAAAATAAATTTTTAAAAAATCCCCAGACTTTGTATATGTGAAAAATACCACAGGAAAGTGATTTTAACACACACACACACACAACACAGATTAAATAAACAAATAAATGTGTATTGCAGTTGTTACCTGATTTTTATCTTGTCTCTGAATGATTTTTAAAATGAGATATAGAAGCAGGAGAATCATGAATTCAAGGCCAGCCTGGATCACATGACATGGTAAGACCATCTCAGGAAGACCAAAGGAGGCAGGATGTGGTGGCTCAGACCGCTGTGAGTTCAAGGCTCACTTGGGCTACATAGTTCCAGGTCATCTTGGCCTGAAGCACGAGACTGTGTCCCAAACCAAGCCAAACATCGCAAGAGAGGGGAGAAGTACAGTGAAAACATTTAAAAATAAGCCTGTTTGGGACATGCACTCACAGTCCCTAGGTCCAGTGAGACAGGATGTCAAATGCAGGAGCAGACTTGCAAGACAAAACTTGCTGGGCCTTGAACTCACAGAGATCTGCCTGCCTCTGCGTCCCTAGTGCTGGGATTAAAGTCATACATCACCACCATGCCTGCCTCATGGCAACTCTTACAAAGGAAAGCATTTAATCGAGGTGTCCTGTACAGTTTCAGTGGTTGAATTTATTATCATCACGGTGGGCCATGGCCATGTGCAGGCAGACATGGTGCAGGGGAAGGATCTGAGAGTTCTGTCTTGCAGGAAGTGAGCTGAGACACTAGGTGTGGCTTGAGAGTACACACACACACACACACACACACACACACACACACACACACACAGTGACACACTTCCTCCGACAAGACCACACCCACTCCAACAAAGCCACACCTCCTAATAGTGCCATTCTCTCTTTGGAAGCCATTTTCTTTCAGGCCACCACATGTGTATTGGTGTTTTTCCTACATATGTGTCTGTGCACCACATGCATGCAGTGTCCAGGAAGGCCAGAGAGGGTGGCAGATTCCCTAGGAACTGGAGAGACCATGTGGGTGCTGGGGATTGAACCTTGGTCCTCTGGAAGAGCAACAAGCGCTCTTAACCACAGAGTTCTTTCTTTCACTCTTACTATCTGAAAACAAAACAAACAGCAACAAAACTACCTACACTGTGTGTGTGTGTGTGTGTGTGTGTGTGTGTGTGTGTGTGTAGTAATTTATTTTGTTGTTTTTGACCCTGGCCTGGACTTTCTGGCTCTCACCCCCCCTCCCCACCTCTGCCTCCCAAGTGCTAGGTGTACACCATTGTGCATCTATTTTTAAAAACTTTTCTTTTACTCGTGACACAAAGATGAGGATGAAATAATTTGCTATATAGAAACAGTACTTAAAAACAGCCAATCACAGTGTCTTCCTGTTAAGTTTGCCGCGGCTCGTTCTCACGGGACTGGGCTGGGCAGCTGTAGTCCCTGGTGCTCGGCTTTTCATGGGACCTTGGCTACTCTTTCGTATTTGTGACCTAGAAAGCAATTGACTGGACAGGCCCTATAGATATTTGAGATGGCATAAGTAACTGCTGCATTGAAAAGCTAAGACAAAAGGGAATCAGTCTTGCCTGTCCTCAGATACCAGGAACCCTGCCCTCTGGGCTGTGGTGCATATCATTTAAAGTTTCCCTTTGTGTGAAGTGTTTTGTGGACTCTGCTGACACCTGACTCATGATCTCCACTTCTTGTTTTCTGAGGGACAGCAAGCACTGGCTGACACTTCCAGTTCCATCATCCCAGCTCCTTCCAGACTTTCCCATAATCCCGACACTGTTCTTTGTTCACCATGCTCTTACAGGAGTTCGTAAGTGTCTGGGTCCGAGACCCCAGGATCCAGAAGGAGGACTTTTGGCACTCCTATATCGACTATGAGATCTGTATTCATGTAAGTACACAGGTGGTGGCTGTTTTATGTGATACAATGATGCTAGGAACTAAAAAACAAAATAAAAAAACCCTTAATTCAAAGAACAGAATTGGGAAGATTCCAGGTAAGCTTTTATCACAAATAAGGCAGTAAGATGATTCTTGCAGTTAAGAATTGCTTATTGGAAGCTCATATTATATTTTTTTTTACAAAACTATTAATATTTTAATGTTTATTACCCTTGCTTATATAGATGTGAATACTTAAAAAATTAATGGTTAAAAAGTATAACTCATCAATGGTATTTCTGTGTGATTTTGTATGTCAACATAATATATTGTTTAATAAATCTTAAGTTTTTAGGGAACTAGAATTTTGGGGAAAAGGAAGATACAATATGAACCATTTTAAAATAAATACAAGGTGTTGTTTTTCATTGTAGCATTTTTGTTCATATGCGCCTTTCTATTTTGTATATAGAATCATAAAATTTGGAAGTCAGTATATACAGTTAGTTTGCCTTAGTCTAGATTTTGAGCCATCAGCACAAAGAATAAGCAACCAGAAGGAATGTGAAGAAAAAAAAAAAAAAAAAGAATAAGCATTTGAAACAAAATGAAATTAGGTTGCCTTTTAACTGCCTCTAAACAAGTTTGTGAGTCCTCATCACATACTTTAGAGCATCATGACATTGATTATTGTCAGGAGATAGTGAAATATAGATTATTCTGTGCTCATAAATTGCATGGTATGATTCAGACTCTACCTGGTGGTGTTCTGGTGTCCCTCTCAAGTGCTCATCGGTTGACAGTGAGTAAGACTCCTTGGCTCCGTGGAGAGCAGAGACAAGCATATGGATTTAGAGGAACCGAGTCAGTTGGTGATCTCAGTGTATACCTGCTCCCGTGGTACAATTCAGAGCCGGTAGATGGGTGAGGCTTTTGGCCAGCCTCAGTTAGCTCTGCAGTCAGCTGGGGCTCTGTTCACTCAAATGATCGTCAAGGGCGATCATAACAGATGACTCTGGAATGTCCATATTTACTTGGGGTTCTAAAGCAGTAGGATGACACAGCTGCCTGCGCCGTGGCTGAAGGAGCCACACGTGGACCCTGTGAATTTTTGTTACTGATACCATGGTGACTATGGGCTGGGAAATGGGATTTAAATGGACCCAGCGTGTACTGGTGATGTCAGAAGTCCCTGCATTAGCCTGGAACCCTCTGAGGAGAGTCCTGAGATGTCTGCTTGGGCCTCATTAGGGCCCTAATTCTGGTATAACAAAGCCTTGGTCCTCAAGGGGCACATTAGAGTCAGGCGGTGTTTTGAAGTTGTCCTGCAGAATGTCATGATGCCATAGCCATCTCCTGTAGGTTTTGTTTCTGTAACACAGAAGAGGCTAGATGTTATGTGGCCTTTGCAGGTGAGTCTTTTAAATTCCAGGAATCCAGGAACTTTGCCCTGTGTTTCATGGGGACAGCCTGTGGACAAATGCATACAGTCATTTAGATTTCCAGGGATAAGGTTGAGTGTCATTGGCAGGATAGTTTTTAAAAATAATATGGATCAGCCCTACAGACTACAGCCAGGATATCTGAATCTTCTTCGAATCCCCCATGACAGGGCCCCTTACCAGCAGGAAGTAGTTTGGAAAGAACGACGCCCAAATTCCCATATATTGTGTATAAATGTTTGTTTTCATTTAATTGGACTTTGTTATATAAAATAAAATAAAATAAAAAAATTAAAATGTTTGAGTCAGTTTAAGAGAACAGCAAGTAAGTAATAATTCAAAGGACTGTGAAGTCCTAATAGATGTCAGAACATGAAGAAGTTAACTGGAGGGCAGGAGGTTGAAGAAACTGGAAGAAACTATGGGCAGATAAGACCAAAAAAAAAAAAAAAAAAAAAAAAAAATACGGATCTTAGTAGCAAAAAGTTAGTCTCTCATTTGGCAATGTAATGATTATGAGCTTCATTTAAAATTTAGAATACACCAAGCTGGGCCGGTTGGCAAATGCCTTTAATCCCAGCACTTGGAAGGCAGAGGCAGAAGGATCTCTAAGTAGGTCAGCCTGGTCTACAGAGGAAGTTTCAGGGCTACAGAGGTTTTATTTGTATTTTTTATTTTTATTTATTTATTCAGGGGTGGTGGTTGAGATTTTAGACAGGATCTTACTCCAGAGCCACAGCCTCTTGAGTTCCCGGGTTCCAGCCCCTACACTCGGCTGACATGACCTTGTGTTTTAAAGACACAGATTTTGTCAGCTTTTCCTTTTACCCCAAAGAGACTGTTTACTCATCTGTGTTTACCCAAAGGAGTGACATTATGTTGTAGCTTAGGTTGGGGACTCTGGACCTGTTTCTCCTGAGCCTGTTTCAGGGCTGCAGCTGAGAAACAGACAGCTAGTAACTAACAGCTGTACTTGCCAGGTGCTTTTGTCCATCTTCATATCCACCCTGTTTCCCCACTCAGGAAACTACAGCTGATATCATTTTCCTGGACTAGAACCAGGGCTGACATTTATGTCCCCTTGCATGGATACCGATTTCCTGACTCAAATCACCCACCCCACCCATTGTCTGGTAGGATGGGAAAATGTTGTCTAGTTGAGCAGTGATTCAGGATCCCCAGTGACTAGTGGCATCCATGTTGAGATACAGATATCTTCAATGCCTTGTGAAGGGCTGTATCTACAGAAGCTTTGGGATGCCCCTGAGCATTTTACATTTTAGGGCTGTGTGTGTGTGTGTGTGTGTGTGTGTGTGTGTGTATGTCTGTATGTCTGTATGTGTGTATGTGAAGACAGGGTCTCACTGCATAGGGTGGATTTGAACTCCTGATCCTCCTGCCTCAGCACCTTGAGTCTGAGATGACAGTGTGGGCTACCAGGCCCACCAAAATTTGTTTGTTAATCTTTGGAAATGCTTGTAGTCAGGAGAGCACAGGTCCTTCAGGATTCTGGTCAGGGTTTGGCCATGCTGGCCCAGAGATAACACTGCCCGTTCATGTCATTATTGCCTCTTCAGGCCCGAGACTAGTGAGTTACATTTAAGATTTCACAGTGCCCACATAAATGAAAATGTTGTTTCATGGTTTGCATCAATCTCTTTATGAGTTAGGAATGTAATAAGAAAGTGCTTTTTCTCTCAGGTGAGGCTCATGTTTTTCTGTTTCTGTGTAGACTAATAGCATGTGTTTTACGATGAAAACATCTTGCGTACGAAGAAGGTACAGAGAATTCGTGTGGCTGAGGCAAAGACTCCAAAGCAATGCATTGCTGGTGTAAGTGACTTATGGGTTAAATGTCAGTGATAGTCTAGAACTGAAAGCTGGGTAAGGATAGGTCACAGGCTTGATTCTTCTGGTCAGCCTACTGCATCTGAATTTTTATGGATATTGATCACAAACAGCCCCAGAATTAAGACGTTCTCCTTTAAGTTAATATTGTACAATAATTATGTGATACCATGTGATAATTATTACCACGCATGATGTGCCCTCACTTTGAGGGATTTCTGTAGCCCAGTCAGTCACCTTGACTTGCTGATCGATTTTTCTTTCTCATCAGACAATTACCAGAACTTCCATCTAAAAACCTATTTTTCAACATGAACAATCGCCAGCATGTTGACCAGCGGCGTCAGGGTTTGGAAGATTTCCTCAGAAAGTAAGTAAGGGGCTGTAGCCAGGCTGGGGGTTGGGGTTGGGGTTTGATAGGGGAGGTGGTGGTGGTGGTGGGGGGGGGGCAGAGAGAGCCTGTGTAGGCGATCTCTGAAATACTTGCTGCTTGACATGTCTTCATATCCTGTATTAGAGCGCCATCTTGTGGCATACATTGAATGGTGCCAATGTGAACAGAGCCTTCTACAAACAATGGGCGGCTGAATCAGAGAATAAACGCGGTCTCTTAAGAGTGAAGTAGATACAGTGGCAGCTCACACTTCTAATGGAAGCACTTTGTGAGGTTGAGGCAGGAGGATTTCTGTGAATTTGAGGCCAACCCAGGATTTGCAGTACGTTCCTGGCCAGTCCTTGTCAAACAAATACTCCCCTAGCCTAAAGCAACAATAACACCATCAACAAACCGAAAGGAAACGGCAGGGGCAGAAGTGAGGCAGAGACAACTTTCTCGCGAGTCTGGCTGCAGAAGTAACATTCCCCGGGAATAAGTGTGCCTTATGATTTAAAACAAGCACTCCCTAAAGCCTGGCTTTATTTGCAGTAGTTAGAATGGAGGGGCTGAGCCATGGGGCCTTCTCTGAGCGAATGGCTTTGTTCTTCCTTGCAGAGTGTGGTTTGTCAGTGCGTGGACTGCTTGTGTGATGGGGCGCACTTCTGCGGGTGCCAGTACAGGAGGCTTGTCCCACACCGGTTGGCACATAGACTGAAGCTAGGCTGCTGGGGTTCAAATCCTGGAACTGCCGCTTTACCATCTGGGAGTTAGGCAAACCTTTTCCTTTCTCTGTGCCTCTGTTGTCCCACCTGTAAAATGGGGTCAGTGATAGTTCTTCCCCTCATAAAGATTGAAGACAGTTAAGTAGGCTAAGGACTGCAGAGTACTGACCACAGTGCCTGGCAACCTAGTTTCCAAGTGTTGACCAACTCTGGGCTGAAATAGCTGTGAGCTTGTTTATCTCGCAGTCTAGATAAGGAAGTAGGCTGAGTCGGGCGAGTACCCGTAAGAGGCAGGGGCCTCGGGTATCCATTCTCCTCTAGTGGCTTTGGGATCTGAAATGATCTCATTTGAGTTCACTAAAAAGAACCCTGAGCTAGTCTGACATGATATGCTGCTTTCCCATATGGCTGACTTATAAAGGGCCTGGGTATTAAGTATGCACATGAATATTAATACTTATTTCTATTAGATTGACACAGTGCCTTTGCTTCCGAGAGGTCACTGGGACACGAGGAAAGCCGGAAGCTTGTGCAGTGTGTAAGAGCAGACACCCGAGCAATCACCATGAAAAGAGCTCAGAGGAACCCATTAGTTGAGTCCTCTGAAAGCATTACAGCAGTGTCATTTGTGGTGACGCAGGGTGACAAAGAGCTGGTCAGGGCTTTTGTACTTTTCCCTTCTGTTAATTGTCTCTAAGGTGCCCAGGTGGCCGACGGTAAGATGGAGCTCATGTTTGCAAGGCAGCCTCTTTTCAGATGCTCCCCCAGGGAAGGCTGCAGCCTGGTTACCACCTGGGAGGCCTGGGCAGGAGCAGATGAACAGCCCTGGCTAGCACTGGGGAGCTGTTGGGCTATTTTGCAGGTTCAGGGACAGCAAGCATCTTTGTGTTTATGTCACTAGGTAAATGCAGACACTGATCATTCCTCTGTCGCTGGTCTTCGAAACAGTTTCATGTGCCCTAGACTGGCTTCAAACCCACTATGTGCTCGACTTTGGCCTTGAACTCCTGATTGCCTGCCCAAATTGCTGGGAGCTCAGGCATGCGCTGCCATGCCCAGCTTGTGGTTCTTGTGTTCCCTGCACTGTTTTTAAGTACTGTACTTTCATAGCGGGTCCTCCCAGCATCTGCTCCCATGGGATTGTGCTATGGCAGAGGTGTTTTGTATTGTGTATCCTTTGGCTGTTCACTGGCTTTGTTTGGCACACATCACAGTGGCAAGCATCCTGTTTCAAGAGCTCAAGGAACTTGGCTCTAAGTCTCACATCAGTCCTGGCTCTTGATATTTTCCAGGTCATGGAACTCGGGGTTTTTTTGAGTCCCTTAGTTGCACTGGTTGTGGAGTGGAGCAGTAGCGTTAGTACATTGCTGTCCTTGCTGGTAGTTGTATTGTTCGGATAACAAACTGCTTGGAGAGGACTTTGAGAAGTGCATGCTGACCCCTCTTCCACCAGCTGTGTGCCAGGGCTACCGGCCCTATACAGACACAGTAGAGGACTTGCTATTTCCGAGGTCAGGAGCTCTGAATGAATTCAGATTTGATCTGGGAGCTGGAGAGATGGTTTAGTAGTTAAGAGCCTGTACTGATCTTCCAGAGAGCCCAGGTTTAGTTCTAGTACCGATAGGGCAGCTCACCACCCTGGGAAACTCTAGTTCAAGAGGTTCAAAGCCCACCTCTGGCCTCCTTGGGCACCAGACATACACATGTGCACCTGTATGGTATACATACATTCATACATGCCAAAAGCTCATACATGTGAAATAAATAAGTCTGACATTTAAGAAAACGGGTATGGATCGTCATCTGAGGTTCATATCACGGAGCAGATGCTTTCCTGGGGTACTGTTTACTCCATGGGAACATGTGTTTCTAATGGGTTAGTTTCACATGAAAAATGAAATGGGAGGGGGCTGGAGAGTCAGCTCAGCAGTTGAGAGCACTTGTTACTATTGCAGAGGACCCAGAGTTTGTTTCCTAGCAACTACTCGGTAGTTCACAGGGGCTCTGCTATGATCTTTTGAGCTCCATGAGTACTAAACACCCATATGGTGTCCGTACATACATGTAGGCAAAGCACACACAAAATCAGTGGAATAAATCTAATATAAAAGTTAAAAAAAAAAAAAAGAAACAACTGGACAGAGTTGCTTGCAGCCAAGGCAGACGGCCCGAGTTCGATCCCCAGAGCCCCGTGGTGAAGGAAGGGGCAGGCCCCAACACGTGTTCTCTGAACTACACACTGTGGCACGCAAACCCCCCCCCCAGCACATGCACTGGGCCCAGTGCTGAGCCCTCCCTTCTGTACCACAGTCTTCTACACAGTTCTCCTTTTGGTCCAGTTTGGGCATGAGTAGCAGCCAGCCATGTCTTCACCGCTGGCGCCCCTCACCTCCCACGTTTAGCCCTAGGTCACTTAGGGCAGCTGGGTGAGATGTACACTTCAGAACTGTGCCTGGCCACACCTTAGTGTCTGTCCTTTGAGGGATCACTAGTCCCTCATTAAGTAGGGTCATCCACCCGTAGCCCATCCCCCTTTTGGTGGAAGGCCTCTAGAATCGATAGCATTAAAATGTGACATGTGCTGATTACTGACTCTTGGCATATATCTAAAATGTTTGACATTTCTATACATTTTGAAAGTATTCAAACTCCATGAAGGCAAAAGCATTTCTGCCTATGTATGTGTATAATGTAAAATGAAAACTTCATTTTAAGGTTATTTATGTAATAATGTGTAGTCAATCACAATACATATTCTGGCCGACACTCATGGAGGAATTGGAGATTGTTTCTCTGTTTGGTTGTTGGGGAAGAGTGTGTGTTGATCTTGAGCATGTGAGCATGGGTGCTTTGTTTTGGGGGGGAGTGGGCAGGGGGGATGGGGAAGTGGGGGGGATTGTCTCGCCTGTACAAACCAGCTAACTGTATGGAAGACAGGGTACTGTGTTCTGGGAACTCAGCAGAGCAGACACTGCAAGCTGAACAGCTCAGTGTGATTGTGAGGTTTTCAAACATTCATTTTCCCATGTGACAAATTTCCCTTTTGTATTCTTTCTCCTCATTCTACGTTGTAACGGAGTCAGAATGTTCTAGAGTTTTAAAGTCTATGTGAGTCTCCAAATGAGCCAACTCTGTTTACAGCGTACATCCTGTTGAGAGCACACTCCACAATTCAGACTTTCTATTGTGCTCTTATATAGTTTTTACTCATGTTCTTGTTTTTGGACATCTCAGGCTGACCTTGAGCTGGTCATGGAATGGAGGATGATGGTATAGTGGGTGAGAAAGTTTTTTTTTTTTTTTTTTTTTTTAAACAAAGGACACACACATAGGCATGCACACAGATACAAATAGAGACACACATTCCTTGTAAACACACAGACACACAGTTATACACATTGTTTTTTCTTTTTGTAAATCTTTATGTTCAATAGAGGGCACCACAGCATAGATTGTGAATATCTTTCAACGAATATTTCTAGGTTTAAATTATTTCTCTCATGATAAGTAAAGAGTTAGCCTTTTTTCTCAATATCAAACCCGCATACTATAGATGTGTGTAGGAAGAATCATATTGAGTTCAGAATATCCAGGCCAACTGTAGAATTAAATGATTTTTGTGTACCATATTATTCTTCAACTGAACCACTGTATAATATGCTTAGTAAAATCACATTAAGGAAAACCAGACTTTACTGTGTCCACTGAAGGGGAAAAGCAGGCCTTGCCTTGTTTAGCAGGGTGTGGGGGGAAGAAGCAACTTTTGGCTTGCATTGTAAATATATTTTCAGAAATTCCCTTAAAATTCTGTAGACTGCTCTGTGAAACTCCCACTATAAAGGCTTGAAAATAATATACAGTTGTTTTATTCTTTTGGGGGGGGGGGTTAATGCTCTCAATATGTAGGCTTGGTTGTCCTGGAGCTCTGTAGACCAGGCTGACCTTGAACTCACAGAGCTCCATCTGCCTCTGTCTCCCGAGTGCTGGGATTAAAAGTGTGTGCCGCTACGACTTTCGCACTTATTTTTATGGAGGCGTCTAAGAATTATGTTTTATGGATTGTTTTACAAAGTCCTCTTTATAGGAAGCTTGGTTCATTTTCTTTTTATTTATTTTTTATTTCATATGCATTGGTGTTTTCCTCCATGTATGTCTGTGTGAGGGTGTCAGAACCCCTGGAACTGGAGTTACAGTTATGAGCTGCCATGTGCATGCTGGGAATTGTACCCGACTCCTCTGCAAGAGGAGCCAGTGCTCTTAACCTCTCTCCAGCCCTTGAAGTTGATTTTCTACTTTAAGGTTTGTTTGTGGAAAATGTGACATAAAAATGATTAAAGAAAATAAAGGATTTTCTGCTCGGATACTGGTAGGCACAACACTCAGACGGTAAAACTGTCACTCAGAAGAGGCACCCGTGACCTCCCATCCTCCCAGAGATTATATCTTTTAAATTAAAAAATATTTAAAATTTATTATTGCTTGAGATGCTCTCACAGTGCTGCTCTGGCTAGCCTGGAACCCTTGATTCTCCTGCCTCAGCCTCTGCTCTGAACTTTAATTTTACAATGGAGACTACCTGACCACAAAATGAAAACATGGATACATACATATACATACATATGTGTAGTTTTTTGTTTGTTTCAAATTCATACCTGTACAGTTCTGGTGGCCTAAACTTAGCCATCAAGGCACAAAAATTAAAAAATAAAACCAGACTTAGCAGGCACGCTGGTTTTGAACGCTCTCGAGGCCCTGTGAGTGTGAATGTTCACAGGTGTGTCTGTCTTCTGTTCCCTCTTCCTATTGACCTGGGTTGTCTGTTCTCTTGATTTTACCCTTGTGTCCTCCAGGTGGCAGTATGCAGCAGAAAACTGGGAACTAAGGAGACTAATGCACAGTCAAATTGGAAATTGAATTATAGCAGAAGAAAAGGGACAGTAGCCTTGAGGTCTCCATCAGCCTGCACTCTGATCACTTTTGTTTTCGGTACCCATGTGTTAGGGGCCCAGCAAGTTAATAACTGCACGTGAGCAGTTCAAGGCTCAGTAGAATTGCTTTAGACATGAAATAAAGCTAAAATGAATTTGTGTCCAATATCGTTGCCATTAGTGCACATTACTTCTGTGCTGTAATGCCTCAAACCATCTAAAATCAATTTTAAAGATCACCCATTATTTTATAGAGAAAATAAAACACATTTCCAACAGAAACAAAGCCGTGTGTACAATCCTATGAACAGCCACTTGTCCTGTGGCTGGTGGGGAGCTACCAACACGAGGCCGCAGGAAACACGGGGCTCAGACTTCACAGCAGGCACAAGTTTGTATCAGAGGCTTGTTTCCATAAAACTCTTTCCTAATCTGAATTATTTAGGACATGGAGGGGAAGCATTTGTAAACGAGGAAGATAGATTTTAGTGCAGTCAAAGGCTTTGCTGCTTGGCAAATGAACCTTTGTCATGCGATATGGCCATCTTCAGGGAGGACCATGGTAGAGGGCATGCAGAGTTGAGCACTTAGTTCCTTTGCTTGAGATATTTCTCTTTGAGAAGCACAATAGTCTTGCTTTTGCTTTTAGTAAAGAGTCACCCGCCCCCAAGTCACATTTATAAGTCTGTTGAGGCAAAGGGAATGATTGGAATCATGTGTTTGTAGACATTTGCCTTCTTCAAGAAATAATTGTGTTACCTGGGAGCAAAGGATGTGGTGTTGTGATGCCTTTGGTATTGAATAAAATTGATGCTAATGACCAGAAAAGAATTATTTACCTAATTACTTGTTTAAAAATACAAGATATTTCATCTGAAATATATGATCTAGTTTTCTTAGTCTCCATATGAGAAAATCCCATGTCAGGCAAAACGACTCATGGGTTGTCTACCTTTAATTCCTATATCCTGGTCCCACTATCTCCTGTAATACCACCATTGAACAGAGACGCAATTATCACACCTCAGAAATGTTTGCTAAAACACTAGCTTCTGTTTAAGTGTGAGGAGACACTGCCTTGGTTCCTTATTCTGTGATGTCCCAGAAAAGCACGTACTTGGCTGAGAATATGAACGTGACCATGCTAGATTCTTGCTGCAGGGTCGGTTTTTAACCCTCCATCTGGTTCCAATGCTTCAGCTGAAACTGGTGCCACCTTTGGAATAAGTTTCAGTCTGTCCTGTTGGACCACCAGTATGCACTCAGCACCAAATTATCCTGCTTGGGGAAAAAAGCGTGGGGTCAAAATTACTTGGTTGCTTATTTTGGCAAGAGATGCACTGCTGCTGGATTCTGCAGAAGTATCTAGTTAACTCTAGGTATTAGAAAAGCCGCCTCACAGGAGCACTTGCAAACATGTACTTGTGTACGCAGTACACTGATAAAAGTTTTCAACTGTAGACTGTGCTGAGGAACATATTGGATCTTCATATAATTTTAATGGTAGTTGAAAGTTTTGATGTTTCATGACAGCTTACCCAATAAAGGCTTGGGGTGCAACACTGACATGCTGCTGGCCATACATTTTTAAAAGCAGACTGAATTGCTATAACCGTATAAGCAAAATATTTCCATAATTAATCCACATGGTCTTAACAGATGGTTAAATTGAAGAAATGTCCTTGAAGTTATTCTTTTAACAGATGTCCTCAACCATTAGCTTCATGTTTTTACTCACCTAAGATTCCAAATAATTGAACAAAAGTTAGCATATGTTTTCATCCCGTTGGTGGGCAGAGCCCAGCATCGGGGCAAAGTTCTCAGAGCAGAGAGATCAGTGGCAGAGGCATACGCGAGGGCTTGCTGCTTTCTACCCGATCTCTGCCCATACCTGCTCATCAGTTATTTTCTTTCCTCTTTTTTCTCAGAGTCCTGCAGAATGCACTTTTGCTTTCAGACAGCAGCCTCCACCTCTTCCTGCAGAGCCATCTCAACTCCGAGGACATCGAAGCATGTGTTTCTGGGCAGACCAAGTACTCAGTGGAAGAAGCAATTCACAAGTTTGCCTTGATGAATAGACGGTTCCCCGAAGAAGACGAAGGGAAAAAAGACAACGACGTAGATTATGATTCAGAGAGGTATTTTTTTTTTTTTTTGCACTTTGATTTAACAGGCATATTTATATAACACATAGTGTCTGTGTGCACGCACGTAGATATATACACATTTTGCTTTTTGTTGATGTAATACTAAGATAATGAAAAAATTAATTGACTGAGATTTTATTGAGCTGTGACAGCTCATCATAGTGGTCTTCACACACACCTCCACACTGAATTAATGAATGCAGCAGAAATTCAATTATCTGCATTCTGATTATGTGACTTTCATTTAGTCAGACTTGAATTATTCGCGTTTAAATTATCTAGCTAAAAAAATATCCAACTGCACTCCAAATGGCTAATTAAAAGTCCAAATTTCCTGTCTCTCTTTGTGACTGGAGATAATTAAAGTTCTCCTCTGTTACTCAGGCTTTGAGTGTGTTGTGAAAACCAATTTCCTCTTTTTATTATTTTCCCTCTCTTCTTTTCCAGTTCATCCTCTGGGCTTGGACACAGTAGTGATGACAGCAGTTCACATGGATGTAAAGCTAGCCCAGCTCTGCAGGAGTCCTGAGAAGGAGTCCTAGGGCCACCACCTTCGGCACAGAATCTTGCCTAGCCGGAGAGAAAGCCTGCTCACAATAGATCCTTATCTAATGTCACTGTCGCTATCTTAGGCAGTTAAATACTTACAGTGGTGGGTTCTTAGTGGTAGTATTTTTATGTTGTCTAATTTTAACCAGGCTTCTGAATAAAGCCGTAAGGTCTGTGAATGCCATACAACCCTTTATTGCCATATAATACTTGTAAATACAATCCTGCTCTCAAGTGACGGAGAGTTACATGCTGTCTATGTGAAAATGAAATCCAGTTGGTCTTAACTGAATTTTAAAGAGCTAGGTGTATCAGTAGCATTTCAAGCCCAGACAGAGCACTCCCGCAGTGTCAGTGGGGGAAGTTACAGTAGACAGTATGTGACTGGAGCAAGGGCACAGAGTCACACATCACACTGCCTCTTTGACACGTGGCTCCTGTTTTGTGGAGACTTCCCCTAGTCTGGGAAACGCTCTGCTTTTGGGTGTTTGATTGACATATTTAAGAGTATTTAAGCTTTCCAGTATACTATTTCACATGTAAATGGGAAATATGTCTTACAAATAAAGACATTAAAATAATGTTTACATCTTAGGGGGAAAATAGAAGATTTTGCCATCTGTAGATTTAGAAATACATTCTCATTGTCCAAAAAAATCAGCTTAAACATGGCTTCTGGCAACAAGTCGTTTTACCATTGTGTAGTTAGTATCATAACTTGTGGTTTATTTTCTGACATTTAAAAAAAAAAGTGCATAAAAATAATCTGGTAACTTTGGTCACTGGTGGCTCCTAACAACTTATTTCAAAGCTAGAAGAAGGTATTTATAAGAGTTAATTTTACCCATAAATACTTCAATAATTTTGGAGTGGAAGTCAGGTTGCTAATGTCAGAGCTCATATTCGTGTTTTAGAAGCCCTTTCTTTTAAGGAATCTACCTGAAGATTGGCTTATTGAATAAAATAGTGTTTTTTTTTTTTTTTTTCTCTCTCCCTCTGTCTGTGGCCTGAAGATAACATGTCTTGGGTTCACTGTGAGCTTCCAGTTTTAGATGGGCAGCATTTTCCTGGGATATTAACTGAGTCCTTCCCGCTAATGATGTTTGGTAGCTAAAAGAAGGCATTTTCACCTAAGTGGGCTAACTTGTTGCTTTCAGTGAATGGGTGCAAACACTGTTGCAAAAAGCAGCCATTTACTTGGGTGTTTGGTAGTTATTGTGATTAATAAAAAGTTATTGAATTGTCCTTTGTGGTGTTTGCTTCAGAGAACTGATTAAAAAAAAAAAGAAAAAGAAAAAGAAACAGAAACATTAAATTTAGAATAAGGGTGATTATTTTAATTTCTCCTTTAAAAACTTCTGCCTCAAACATTATGAAACATCTGTAAATGTTTTGATTTAGTGTCTTAGGTCTTGTACCCTAACATGGATTTACTGTAGGAAGAAAGGGATTTAGCAGCTGCTTCTCTTGCTGCATGGAAAAGTTTTAGAGCGGTGCCCACTCCTCAGTTGTAGATACGAATTCACAACATGTATGTTTTCCAGCATTTTTGAAAAGCGTACATTGTGCCACCAGTTATCAAACTACTTCTTGATGAGCTAATAATGTAACCACTGAAGTTAATATATTGATGCTTAATATTTGCTCTGCAAACTTCACGAGGTTATGGTTTTCACATTAAACATGAAAAAGAAAACAGTGTTGTTGGATCACTTATTTTACATAAGAGAATACATGTCTTGTGACTCAGACTAAACTGTTTTTAAAATTACTGGTAATTTTTTGCTGAGGAACTTTACTGAGACTTGCTTGACATTTGCCGAAGTTGCCTCTGCTCTGCTTTAGCTGTTTCCACATCTCAGCACTTGCATTTTCAAACTGGCTTTTGGGGGCCTAGATATGTAGATGAGCGTCAGTTTCCAATGGGCCACTTGCTTTGTTTTTTTTACTTTTATGTCTGGAGGAGAACAAAGTAGCGACACATCTAACTAAATAGACAGACCTTTAGTACTATTTTTTAATGTGAGTTACGCTTTAGGGCTCTAATTCTGGATGCCTACTTATGATTTACATTAAGCAAAACTCTTCCTGGCTAATTCTGCAAGAGTAGATCTCATACCTGGAAGGTCATAGTCCTATGTATTCATTTTAAAGCTGACTTTATAGGTAGCTAACGGTGAACGTCAACAACCTGGTACAGAAAATGATTTTAGTTCTAGTTAAAAAACAAACAGACAAACAAAAAACTCAAAACACCAGGGGAAATCACAGATGTGCGTCTTTAATCACTTGTCATTCCTTAAGATACTAAATACGTATTGCCAGAGCTGTTCAAGTCTACTTCAAATTTTATTTAAACAATTAAATACCAACAAGTTATATGCAACATATAGGAGTCAAATCATAGAATTTCTTGGGTGACATTAAGAATTTTACCAAATTTATTCAGCTTAGCCATGCTGTATCCAACAGTGGTAGCTGGCTGTTGTTTTGAATTCAGCTTCTTTTTGGTGCTTTACCATCGAGTTAAGTGTGCACAATAAGGTTTTAAGGACTGAGCCTTTTGCATGAAAGGTCTCGCTTTTTTTTCTTTTGTGTGCAAAAATTAGGAGGACTTATCCTGTTTCTTAATCGTTTTCCTCTTACTATTTAAATTAGTTAGCTGGTACCTTATGAATACAGTGCAGCATCTTCACAGAGGAAACAGTTTATTTCGAAACAGTTTTGTTTAGGAAGAAAACTGTCTCTTAATTTTCTATGGACACATTTCCAAATATAAAATGTCCGAACTTAAGTTGTGATAACTTGACATTCATTAAAGATGTAGGCACAGTTTTCTTTGCAAGTCAACACAAGAAACGCAGACATTTTAATAGAATGGAGCTAAAAAAATTATGTAAAGAAACAATAACTTTGGATTTTGATGTGTTTACAAAAGATTTGGGGCTTTGTTCTTGGTCATATGATCACATCACCATTGTCCCCTTAAGTCGAACACAATTGCTTTTCCCTGTTGCAGGAAACGTCTAGGTCCTTATTAAGAACAATGCATTGGACACTCATTTATTTTAGCTGTGCAAACTCTGGTAGTTCATGACCCTTTTTCTTAAAAATTCTAAAGACTTCTTTTCAGAAGGTAGAGCAGAAAAGAGGGAGAGAAGAAAACTAAGCTACAAAAATTTCTGCAGAATCCACTACGCTTTCTTTAAGCTAAAAAGAAGGGTAGATGCTGCCGAAGCTGCGTGGCATAACGGGTGGATTTGCGGCTCTTACCTGGGCCTTCTTTATAGCTCAGCCCCCACCCCTGTGGGCCTCGGCTCAGCAGCCCGCTCGCTCCCGCCATCCCACGCTCGCTCCCGCTTCCTCGGTCCGGTAACCCATGGCAACCGCCCTGGTAACCCATAGCAACAGCTCTGCCGAACCAGGTGGGGTGGGGGAGCCATTTGGAGTGGGCGGGTGGAGAGCGATTTACCACGGCCCACCTGCCTCGGGCACCGCCAGCGTCCCGCACCGGACAGTGAGGACCAAACAAAGCCTCCGCACACATGCGGGCGCTGGTGGTGGAGGCACGTGGGCCTTTGTTCTTCAGACGCCGCCCGCCGAGAGCTTGCACACGGCTCCAACGGCTCCAGCCTTAGCTGACCCCACGCTGTGCTGTGCTCATACCCCAGGAACCTGGAACCTTCCAGACCCGAGCTCAATACGCTAACGCCTCCATCTCTCCCCTGGACCCGGCGCGGACAATTGTGCCGGGTGGCAGAACTGGGTCGCTAGGGAAGGAGCACGTGCTCGGGTCCTGGGTGAGGCCGGTGTGTCACACATGGGGAGATGTAGAGCCCCACGCTGCTGTGCCAGGTCACTTGAGGATGACCGGCGGTGTGAGGCCACGGGTGGACGGACGGGGTCGCTGTCGGGCAGCGCGGCGCAGCTGGTACTCTGCGGGCTCTGCTCAAAGCATCATCTGCTGGCTAGTGCTTTCAGGACCCCAAGGCTGCTGTGAGATGGTTCAGGAAACGTGTGTCTGCATCAGGCTACAAAGCAATACGTTGGGATGAAAGGGAGTCCAGAGTCACGGTTCAGATCACGCTCTACCTAGGTGTGACTCCAAGCTCATTTGGACGGTTTTAAATTTTTTTCAAAAAACAAAACGTTTGGCCTGGATGACTTCGTGGCCCTCTGAGTCCTCAATTCTACCCTCTCAATATGTGCACATCACTTGCAAATCCAAATAGCAAAGCCATCAGGAGTATCCTTTTTGGAGACAAGAATTATACATGTACAGTTTACACTTGTATAATGGGCCTTCCTTTTCAATTTAACTAGGTTCATCATGGGTTACACATTTAATTGTACTTTTACTGCCTAACAAGAGAAGCTGGAGTCAGATCTTAATCCCTTCATTAAAAGAAAGAAAGAAAAAAGAAAGAAAGAAAAAAGAGCATCTTCAACTGCCTATATTTGCCACGTCTGATCTTAGGGGAACTGGGTTAATTTCACAAACACAACCTCTGGGTACAGAAGTGTCTGTGTGAGTTGGGGCACAGGTACTGACCACGCTGGTGCTCAGAACAATCCCAGCCCTCAGCAAGTGGGTGGTGAGTTAGGAGGCCTGTCCTTTAATTTTTTTTTTTTTTTTTTTTAACAAAAGCAATTACAGAAAAGTGCACATTTAACGTGTGACATTTAACATTTTGCGGTGGCAGGCAGCCTCCACTTAAATGGGGCCTTTCTTCGGAACAACAGGAGCCAAAAGGCCTTGTGTCATGGAGTAATGTAAGACACAATCTGGGCTGCAAACGCACAATGAATCGGGAAGGATTTATGTAATTAATTGACCAGTCTTAACCTGTTATCGTGATGTAAGGAATTTGGAACTCATTAATTTGGGCTCTGACAGATTTCATATTAGAGCTGGCAAATATGGATTGAGCCTCTTATTCTTGTAGCAGCTGGAATTTCCATGACAGTGAGGGTTACTGAAGAAGACCTATTGCTACAGTCAAACTGCTCTTTTGTAATCAGTAGCCCTGCTTTGCATTAAAGGGATAATGAAAAAAAAAAATTACCTGGCGTGGCAAGTGGAAGGGGCTGAGTTCACCCTGCCACTGTGTGTGGTGAGTGCAAGCATTTGCAGCCGAAAGAAAATACTAATTTCAATCTTAAAGTTAGGTGGTTTCTCAAGTACCCTGAGAAAAAAGCTGCAAGAGTCTTGGAGTCCAGGCTCCTTTTGCTGTCAACGTTAAGAAGGAATTAAAAGCTGTGAGTCTTGGAATCTCCTAGTGGACAGGGACTGCATGATAGAGGGCTTTCCAGGGACAGTAGGAGTTCGGACAGTGCCTGCCCACAGATGAGCAATTCAGAGCCCCCAAGGGGACTGGCTCTCTCAAGATCCACTTCCTGTCCCCTGGTCAGAGCTCCTTAGCTGACCTCACAAGGCCCAGGCACTAGTGCATACTTTCATCTGGATTCCCTTCGCATGGATGTTTAGTGAGTCACCCATTTGAAAATATCAGCTTCTTTGTGATTTTACAAAAACCCAGTAAAAGCCTGATTTTCATTTTTTACTCTGCTTGACAGTCAGGAAATTGCTAGGTTAGAAAAAGGTCCTTGAGATTAAACGGAATGTTTTTCCCCTTTCTTGCACATTAGGCCTCCCTTATTGCTATGCTGTGTGATAAGGTTAATACAACAACTGCCATAAGGATCATTAATACAGGAAGATAAGCAAAGTTGCACATTTAAAACGTTTGCTGGGATCATTTGCCTCCTTTTGCAGATAAGGAAGACTTTGCTAACAAATCTAGAGCAGAGGCCCAGAATACTTAGACCAAAAGCTCAATTGACCTTTCCTAATGCATTATTATTCATAAATGCTCTTCAAAGTTGAGAATTGACTGCTCTTGAACTTTATTTGTAGTTGTCACCTTAAAAACTTTCTGCCATTATAGCAACTTAACATTTTAATAGCGAAAACATGGTTAGTAAATCTTGGGGGAGGAAATGAACTGATTTCCATTTTTTCCCCTGTGTTTTTGTTGTCTTGATTCCAACCAATGCCACAGTAAAGAATTTTAGTTAGGGCTAACAGGATTTGATCTATCAGAGTACTCAGTGAGAAAACTTGTTTGGGGTGGCCTCGTTAAGAAGTGATTTATTCGGCTTTGGTTCCATTGGAATGAATGTGCAATGATGAACGCTCGACATTTGCATCAATATATTAGCGTTATCCTTCACACTGAGCAAGAAGAGCTAGTAGTCGAGATTGGTATTATTATTTCAGTGGGATGGCAATGAAGGTAAACAACTGATAGCAAGGCTTGGGCAACTGGCATAAACAGTGTAGGCGAACACACTCACAGTTTATGCACGATCTCAGATTCCATATAGGGATTTCTTTGCTGTCTTTTTTTTTTAAACAAAGGGAGATGCGTGTGTAACTTGACAAGCGTGATGCTCTCAGGTCTGTGTATACTGTTTATGTAAAGCAGGGGTATAGAGCAGACAGACTGAATTGCAGTTTACTAGAGACAATGTTGATCTGGTAAACCCAATTCTGGCTCTGCTGCCGGATTGTACTCAAAGACATTTCCCAACTCCTCCGTTTCCACATCAGTATCACAAGAAATATGGGTACAGAGTGTCCTGCGGATGTTCCCTAGAGCACTGGGTCTGAGAG